TCACTTTGGGTTGGTTTTTTGTCAGCCAATTGCTCGTTTCTTCAGGCCTAGACCAACACCAATGGTGTTTTGGCTGCTCTCCACCTTCCTTCCCTCTATAGCAGGGGTCTTTAACTTTTTTCTCCTATGAGGGCCGCTTGCCAAATTTCATACGTTAAAATAAAATGTAACTATATGCGGTTTGCTGCTACGGATACTAATTATACACACAATAAGGTGCTCCTCATATCAATAGGTTTAGGTGCAATTAGGGATTCCAGCGTCAGAAACTTGCGTTTTCCTGCAGTTTACAAGCGACAGCTGTCAACCATTTAAGTTAATGATCAGGTGACAGCTCTTGTAAACATCTGCCCACCACATGTAATGATGTGTGATATTATATGCGCTTAGAAAACACTCTTCCTGGTTGCACAATCATCGCGTCCAAGGATAGTGATTGATTCCTAACTGAATGTAATCATATCACATACCATTACATGCAACTGCTGTCACCTGATCATTAACTTGAATAGGTGACAGCTGCTGCTTTTAAAAGCCAGATAAGACTTTAAATGTTGGGTTTAATTAAAATGTATATTTGGATATACAGTGCCAGGAAAGTAAAACTTCTAATGAAATCTATCCTACGTCCTGCTGGCTGATGGTTCCTGTAGAAATCTTCTACAGTAGTGAACTTCTGGCACTGGATGAGCTTCTGCTGAAATAGTGAAAAAATTGGTGCCACTTGCCCTCCATTTCTGCCCCACTTGCCCATTCACAGAATTTCTTGCATTCTTTTCACAGAATGCAAAGCATTCTTTGAGTAGAGGATGAATGACAGGAGCTCCCTCCTCCACTCACAGAAAGAAGCAGAAACAGCTAACTCATACAGTGATGGAAGTGAACTGCTGTGAAGAGGATCCAGCATCACTGAAAGGAGGATTTCTACAGGAAAGGCATATCATTCGTTGTGTTCGATTAAAAGTTGCAATTCAACTACATCTTTTTACTCCTGATTTTTTGGTTAGAAGTTTTAAAATAGGTGTGGCTATATTGTGTTGTTTTACTGTGGTCTCCTCAAACTATTCAGGTTTTTTTTTATTGCTTTTTTTACATTCATTTTTATTTTACATTAATTACGATTTCTTGTGAACTTTGTTTTTTTCCATTATTGTTTGATAATGTTACCTCAAGATCCACAACATATGCTAAGATTTTAGAATTCCATGGTACAGTAGATTGGAAGAAAAAAAAGATATATCTGTCGAGTTTAACCCCCCAAAAAAATAGGTTACATAAAAATACAAAATGAAAATACCTAAATTCTTACCTAAATATGCAGTCGGGTAACAGGCCGGGTCTCGAGTCACAGTATCCATCAGTGAGGTCCTAACAGAGTCCTGAAGACTTTAGGTCATGGTGTCAGGATGTCACTAAGCAAGGGGTAATGAGATCCTTTTGCGGGCATGATCCTCATGAATGGATCACGAGTTTCCCCTCCCAGAAGAGGCAAAACTAGAGGGTCACTTGGTGGTGGACTCAGGTAAGTTAAAAGGTGGGTTAGCAGTGTGCAAAGGTAGGGCGACAAATGTTGGGAGGCAATTCAAAGTTTTTTTTTTCCATGGCGATGGGATTTAATGTGGACTTCATTTTCTATATGAATCCTCTATACATTTTAACAAGGTGATCATTTTTTTATTAACATTCACTTTAAAAGGAAAGTAGATTTCTTGATAGCAACTGTCTAAGTTTTATACCATCAGTTTTAATATTTTATAGCAGATTATTTTGTGATTTGTCTTTTTAGCAATACTTCAAATATTTTAACAAATGATTATTATTATACAGGATTTATATAGCGCCAATAGTTTGGGCCGTGCTTTACAATATACGGAAGACATTACAGTTAAAATACAATTCAAAACAGAATGGTTAGGAGTTCCCTGCCTTGGGGAGCTTAACAATTTAAAAGGAAGGGGCTAGTGATACAAAAGGTGGTAGATGTGTGGGAATGAGACATTTGAGAAAGTAATAGTTTAGCGCTTAGGTTGAGGTGTTAAAGGCTAACCTGAAGAAATTAGTCTTCAGGGATCATCCAAAAGCAGATAGGGTAGGAAATAGCTGGACAGCTTGGGGTAGGGCGTTCCAGAGGATGGGAGAGACTTTAGAAAAGTCCTGGAGGTGAGCATGGGAGGAGTTCACAAGGGAGCTAGAGAGCAGGAGGTCTTCGGAGAAGTGGAGCGGAGGGTTAAGCTGCCCACACACCTTACAATTTATCTGCAGATTGTTGGTGGTCAGATGGAAAAGGTGCAACAGATTCCTCCGTCTACACTTAACTGTGTGGATAGAGTAATCTCCACCTGGGCCAATCTGTTGCACTTTTTCCATCTGACCACAGAAAATCTGCAGATAAATTGTAAGGTGTGTGGGCAGCTTTAGGGTTATACTTTGCAACGAGGTTGGAGATATAGCTTGGGCCAGAGTTTTGGGTTGCTTGGTAAGTGGTTGTTAATACTTTGAATGTTTATCCTTGGGCGATTGGAAGCCGGTAGAGGAATTGGCAGAGAGGGGTTGCAGACACTGAGTGGTTGATGGAGTGGATGAGTCTGGCAGCAGTCTTAATGATGGACTGAAAGGGGGATAGCCTGTGTAAAGGTAGGCCAATGTGAAGGGAGTTGCAATAGCCAAGATGAGAGATAACGAGTGGATAAGCTTTGTGGTTTCAAGGGGCATATCATGGAAATGTTATGGAGGTGAAGGGGCAGCATTTGGATAGTGATTGGATGTGGGGTCGAAAGGTGAGGTCAGAGTCCATGGTGATACTTAGAATGGTTGGAGGGAGAAATAGATTTGCTATAAATCTCAAAGGAAAAGTTTGTGGCAGAGGGGGGTTTGGAAGAAATATCATGAGCTCAGTTTTTCAAAGATTGAGTTTTAAGAAGTGCTGTGACATCCAGACTGGTATGTCAAGTTAGTAAATGAATGGTGTGCAAGAACACTGAAGGGGTGACCTGTGGAGTGGAGAGAGATATTTGTGTGTCATCAGCAAAGAGATGGTATTGGAAGCCGTGCAAGGTTATCAACTGATCAAGGGAGGATGTGTAGAAAGAGAAAAGAAAGGGTCTGAGGACAGAGCGCTTAGGTAGGAGGAGAACCATGAAAGAGCAAGTCTTAGAGGCCAAACAAGTGCAGTTTTTTTTGAGGAGCAGCGGGTGGTCAGATGTGTCAAAAGCAGCAGTAAGGTCTAATCGCAAGAGTAAAAAGTAGTGGCTATTATTTTTTAGCAGTCGGTAAGTCATTAGTGAGTTTGAGGGCAGTCTCCCTCCTTAAACTCACTAGTGTTGGGGCAAAAGCCAGACTGTTAGGGGTTATCAGTGAGGCAGAGGCTCAGGCGGTTGTAGATTAGGCATTCTAGGAGTTTGGAGGTGAATGGGAGTAAGGAGATTGGTCTGAGATTAAGGTTGGTGGAGTCCAGTGTGGGGGTGACCACTGCATGTTTTGCAGGGGAGGGGAAGATTGAAAATGTGATTTAAGCTGCCCACCTATAGATTTTCTGCAAATTTTTATGGTCAGAAGGAAAAAGTGCAACAGATTCCTCCATCTACTCTAAACTGTGTGCAGGAATCTTACACTTCAGTATCTTGCTAGTCGGCCCCACTGGCTCTCAAAATGCCTGAACAATCTGATTGGATGCAGGCATTGTTCAGGTGTTTTGAGAGCCAGCAGGGCCGTCTAGCAAGATACGGAAACTTGGCCCAGTGGGAGATTCCTCCATCCACACAGTTTAGAGTAGATGGTTAAATCTGTTGCACTATTTCCAACTGACCATAGAAAATCTGCAGAAAATCAATGTGTATGGCCAGCTTAAGAGAGTGTAGGATAGAACAAAAGGTCGACCAGAGTAATGGTGAGGAAACAGGGTCCAGGGGGCAGGTAATGAGGCGGGTGTCAGTGAAAATCTATGCAACCTCCTCTGCAGTGACGGGGTCGAAAGAGGAAAGTAACACATGGGGTGGTGGGCCTTTTTCATTAACCCCTTCGTGACGGGAGACGTACAGTGTACGTCCCGTCACAAAGTGGCTATATGACTGGCCACGTACACTGTACGTGCCGAGTTATATCAGCCTCTGTAATGCTGATAACTGCAGATTCTCAGCGGTTACCAATCATTAATTAATGCCTCAGTATTGAGGCATTCATTAATGAAATAGTTAAGCTTTTGTAAAGGCTTCTTTCTTTCATTAATGAAAGAATGAAGCCTTTACATTCAGATACGGGTTCGCTGAACAGTGAACCCGTATCTGACAGCTAAAGATAGCAGAGAGGTAGCAGTGACTCACCTCTCTGCTATTCGTTTTGACAGCTGTATAGCCTGGCCCGATGTTAAATGATACATTTCAAGCACAAGATACAAATGTATCTCGAGTGAAATGTATCAGTTTTGATCGTCTAGGAACGATCAAAGACCTTTAGTGAGATCTGATTCTGACATGCTGTCAGGATCAGTCTCTAAGGTTATTAATAGCTGTTCCTAAGTTTGGAGCAGCCTAATAACTAAAAATTAAAAAAGATAATTTATCATGCAGTCACAGTGACTGCTTGACATAAACTGACAAAAAAAAGTGTAAAAAAAATAATAATTAAAAAAATTCTAAAAATAATAATCAAAACTTGCTGCTGTGGAAGAATCACACAGCAGAAATGTAAAAAGCGTGTCAGTCATTTAGGAACAGAAACTAAAATCTAGCTCAGTCATGAAGGGGTTAATTGGACAGTGCATCTCATCACAAATTGCATCTTGTTTTTGAAATGAAAGTCACTGTCCTGGGCAGTGAATGCGTTAGTGGGTGGAGGTGGTGGGGGACATAGAGATGTCAAAGTAGAAAAGATTTGAGGAGGATTGAATGAGAGTGAAAAAATAAGTCTGTTTGGCAGCATGGATGGAGGAATTTTATTTTAGGACGGCAGCTTTATTTTAGGAGGGCAGCTTTATAAAGAATTCCTTTCTTTTGAATTGACAGGAAATTATTATAGCTGGACTTCAACCTGAAACCTCTTATTCCATCACAGTTGCTGCATACACTATGAAAGGAGATGGTGCACGCTGCAAACCAAAGGTAGTCACTACTAAGAGTGCTGGTGAGTACATATTAATGATTTCAAAATTTCACAGGTAGAGAACTCTTACTCTAGTATGGTAATCATACACTGGGGGTAGTGGCGGGCAAGGGGGGCGGGTTGTCTTTTACAAGCATTTGGTAAGAGTTCTGGAGCATAAACATATAGAAATAGCTGTTGGCCTTAAATTGTAAATGCTTTTGGCATGCTTGTAGCTTGTAGCTCGTGCGCTTCCTGGTGACAAAGTCACCTGTATGAAAGAATACCAGAAGTTGGAGCTGGGAGTACTTGGATGCAAAATAAGCCAGTTCTTCCAAGTGGTCCAGTGCATTCCCTGAAATCTTATGGTGTCAATGGTTAATACATTTCCTGGAGCCATCACCATCCCTTTCAGTTGCCATCTATGGCTTTGGGGGTAGCCCCACTGCAAAGTTAACTTTTATTTTGCCTGGAGTTCTCCTTTCAGCAGGTTGTAATGGCTTCTACTGATGTTTTTGGTTGTGCACTACTGTTTTTGATGCTGCAGAAAGGAGCTTTATTCTAGGAAGAAATAAATATATGCCATGTTTTCCAAAAATGTAACTGTTGTCTCCCTGTGACTAGGTAGCCAGCATAATATATTGCCTGCACCCCTTCTGACTGGTATAATGCACTGCAATATTATGAAAGAGATGGCAGAATTTGAGTTGTATGTTCCATAAATTACATGTTTATCCAGTTAAGCAACACAATGTATCACATGTGGACAAGACTACCCTTCCTGGCTAGTGTAATTCGGTTTTATAACAAGAGGTTGATTAATTTCTTCCTTTTCCTGCTTTTTGACAAGTAAGGAAAATGATCATGGCTAGGGTTGAGCATGAGTTTGAACTGTCCGCACTTTGGCGAATGGGTGAATAATTTGGCCAAGTTGTCTAATGTAACCAAATATCCACCGGAGACTGTTTTTCTACATTAACTTTAAAAATCACCAATTAAGTAATATGAAAGATGGGTGGAGAGTTGAGTGCAATATAAACAATTTGACAGTTAAACAGTGCATTTATCTATACAGATCTCTATATCAGAGCCAGAAATGAGACGAGTGAGGGACAGAGGGATTAGGTTCCAAATGAGGGACAGTTGGGAGCTACGTGGGTGCCAGTTTCTGAAGAGGGAGATTGTGCTTATATGCAATCCATTTAGGTTTACTTTAGACCCTAATCGATCCAGGAGAAGTAAAAAAAAATGTGACAAAATTGCAAAATCAGAAAAAGATCTGGCGCTTCACTGCGATGGCTCTGCACCCATGTTGTCTCTGCAGAGGCAATTCCTGAGACTGTTTTCTAAACTGATGAACTGTCTACTTGAATGACACCATGCCTGTCCCCCAGATCAGACGATTCACTGCAGAAGTTTTTTTTTGGTTCCAAGCCTAGATTGGACCACAAATAAGGTTGGCTCTTGTTTAGGGTGAGTAAGGCTTTTTACTGACTTTACTGTGACCTTGGGAAATCTTTTCAAGAGAATGCCCATTTTTATTGCTGCTATGGCCCTTGTTTGACTTTTGTCTTTTTCACTTTGTCTTCAGCCGCTCTGTCCCACACTGCAATGTCGCCATCTTTGCAAGGGCATTTTGCCCTTACTTCAGGCCTCTGTCTGTTTCTTCTTGCTGGCTGCTAAGACCTTTACAAGAAGTGGGCGGGGCACTCTGCCAACGCACGTTAGCAGTTCTGGGCCGCTACGTTAGGGCTGCTGCTTCATGGTTGCCTGCTGCATGCTGCTGCAAGCCTCTTCTACATGGGATACAACACAGCTTTGCTCTCCCACACACGGCTAACTTCCTGGAACCTCTGTAAGTCTTAACAGGTTGACAGTCCCTCTATTTATAGCCAAAGGCTTGTCACTACCCATGTGTCTATACCCCTCTTCTTCTTGTGCTCTGGTTTAGTGCTTCTTGTACTGGGCAATGGCATTTTACACCTTAAGGGTTCCTACCTGTCATGTCTTTTTGCAACGTGCTTGACACACAAAAAAGAAAAGAATAGTGGTTGTGTTGCCACTGGCAACTTCCCCCAGCAGATCTTGTTTTCTGCTTGCTTCTCTACAGGCTTAAGTTCAATAACGCGATACCTGTAGATCCTGCTCTGACATGTCTGCTTCTTCATTACCCTCAAAGCTACCCTTGAAGCTTTTGTGTATACCTGCGGCTACCCTCTCTGCCTTAAAGAAGTTTTTCTCCCTCTGCTTTTTGAACTTTACCACACCAGTCATACGATTCGCAGTATCCATGATATGAGATGACAAAGCCCTTTCTCTACTAAGATGGCTACCACCACACAGAGAGACAGTGCAGAAGAAATATATATGGTAAGCGCAGGACGACCACAAGCAATACCAGAGACTAATTCTTTGTTGCGTGCTAGCCTATTTTTGGGCACAGCTTCTACAGTTCAGATCCCCATTAAAGTGTTTTTCCACTTTTACAGTTGGGATACCACCTGTTTTATATTTTTTACATGTTCTCAAAATAAAAAATACAAATTGCTGCTTACATGTTACTTGCTCTTTCCTGAAATGGGAGTGGGGAGTTATTTTTCAACCTGTACTTTGCTGACAGGTCTCACTATTATTAGATTAAACTAGATTTGAACACCGTCTGTCCTAACAATGGGTTAATCTGGAAACATTTTATGTTAATGAGATGAAGCTCAGAATGTGACAGCCAGGATTTCCTGTCACTTTTGAGCTTCTCAAAACAATTTCAAAGACCGGCTTACACAGACAGACATAAAAGATAAGAAATATAAAAAATATTTTTTTTTTTAGGTATGCTGTGTGAATGGGAACGCATAACAAATATAAAATGAGGTTTTCTCAATTGTGTCTGCAAAAGTGGAAATACTTCAACCAGTTATCAACCAGCAATTATACTATTACATACAATTTGCTGGTGTTTATTTCCAGGAGGACGTTCAGCAACATCCTACAGGAACTGTGATTATGTGCGCGCACAAGTCAGCGATCACTTGGTCATAGCGCATCCCTGGCAGCAGGTACAGACCCAATTGGAGAGGCTCTGTACCACGTGATCGCTGTGACCAATCACTGCCGATCACAAATGTAAACAATGGCTGCAGTTTGCAGCCTGTCTCTTCCTTTCCTCTCACGCACCGTTCAGCTGTGAAAGGTAAGGGAGATCGGACTACTAAAGTGTAACAAATCTCCACAGAGCCTGTCAGCACCTGTGTCCTGATCAGTACCAGTAGGAGTACCACCAGTACCCGTGTCCTGATTACCGCAGGTATCAGTACCACCAGTACCAGTGTCCTGATTGCCACTGTCGGCACCAGTGCCAGCCTCAACACCTGCGTCCTGATTGGTGTTTCCACTATCCTGGCACTTCAATGCCTCCAAAAATGTGATAGTTACGGAGGAATTCAGATTCCTGCATTACTATCACATTTTCGGAGGCCTTGAAGTGCCAGGACAGTGGAAACACCAATCAGGACCCAGATGTTGAGGCTGGTACTTGTGCCGGCAGTGGCAATTAGGACGCTGGTACTGGTGCTGACAGTGGTAATCCGGACGCTGGTGTACTTGGATCTTGGGCCCTCTTTTGGGCATCTAGGTTGTGAAGAGTTCTCACATATGTGGTATCCCCCTACTCGGGAGGAGTAAAACAATTGGTTTGGGGTGTAATTTTTATGTCCATGCTATGTGTAAGAAATATCTCATTAAAATGACAACTTTGTGTTAAAAAAAATACCATTTAATTTTCTTCTTTTTCAAAAAAAATTGTGGCAAAAAATGAATTCTTCAAAAGACTGACCATGCCTCTTGTTAGATTTTGTTGATTTCTCTATTGTCTTGGCACGACCTCCAAAAATTTGACAGATAGGCAGGAAATCAGATCCGTATTTACGCCCCTTGCAAGTCTGAAGGTGCTCCTTGGATTTTGGGCCCCTCTAAGCGGCTAGACTGTGAAAAAGTCCTACACATATGGTTACATAGTTTAGTCAGGTTTAAAAAAAGATGTCTGGGATCGATCTTAAGAATGACCCGGCTGCTATCCTTCATTTGTCTGGCCTCTCAATGCAGCTAAAATGTGCATCCCCCTGCTTTGGAAGACAACCACAGCTCCAACCATAGCCATGTGGATCTTGAAAGTCCAGGAAATGGAGATGATGGAATGCATGACAGCTTCCATACGACACCAGGAAACTAAATTCAATAAAAGAAGGTTCTATTGGCACGAATACCTCCTCTTCTCAAATTGCGTGAGCTGAGCAATGTTCCTTTCCTCCCTGGCCTGCCCCCCTCCCC